CAACCAAATTATGGAAACATATAGAAAAAGAAAAATGGATGAAAAGTTTGGTATTTTTTGCCCGGTTAATGATTTTGATTACGATTGAAAAGTATTATTTAGACAGGTGTCAAGATTTTAGAGAAAAAGGAGCTCGCATTTTCCTTACTTCAAGGCCCAACCTCACTATTTCATCTTTTGATGGACAAGTAATTATCTATATATATAAAGAAAAAGGCAGAGAATGGTGAAACATTCAAAATATCAGAAAATGCCATGCAAACATTAATAATTGAAATTATTAATTAAATGATAATAATATGGTAAATTCACATTTTTCATATAAAAAAATTAAAAATAAAAGAAAAATCAGATAATGGATCCTATTTTTATGGAACACAACTACCCCATTTTTTTTTAAAATTCTAAAATAAATTTAAATTTTTTTAAAAAAGCCTCTTGCAGACGCGGAAGAGTGTGCGGAGAGGCTAGTATTACAATTATTAACATAATCTATACCACGTTCCACTAACTTTATACCACGTCTTTTTATTTTATTTTTTCCTCTACTGATTCAATGTTACCGTATATCACACTGACACAGTGTCATTAATAATTTTAAGATATTGTATATCACACTGACACAATGTATAATCAACTATTGTTAATACGGTATGAGTACATTTACAACACTTGATACAATGTTATTGATATAATTAAAATTGTACTCTGTCAACAATATTGTACACAGTATTTGCGTGGCGTCATGTTTTTGTTAAAGATATTTCAAAGAAGCTAACAAGGGCACTACTTTGTAAATCATTGATCTCAAGTTTGAACCTTATGGCACATTTGTAGTATGTGCGTGAGAACAGAACATTTGTAGTATAGTTGATCATCCAAATAAAATGAAACCATAGTTAGCCCAGATAACAAAACTATTGTTAATCACTAACAAAAAAGCAACTCCAAACTCAAATCTTACCACAAAAGGCACAATGAGAACAAAATCTACATCATCTATTTCAAAATCAACTTCTCAAACCAAAACATAACTACAAAATTGAAATAAGAATCTAATATAGAAAACACATACCTCACTAGATGAAAAATAGAGCTTTGCGTGAGAAGAAGGAATATGAGAGAGAGAGAGAGAGAGAGAGAGAGAGGGTGTCATTGTCGATGGAGCAAATAAGGAAGAGGAGAGAGAGAGAAGGCATTACGTCGTCGATGAAGCAAAGAAGGAAGATGATAGAGAGGGTGTTGTCGTCGATGGAGTGAATAAGGAAAAGGAGAGAGAGAGAGAGAGGGGGCTGAGATCTGGTTTTAAATAAAAGGGTAAAATTATATTTTACCTTTATAATTTAGACAGGCCCAACGAATCTGGGTCTCCTATTTGGGCATATCCAAAACAAAATTTGATTCATAAAGTATTAAAACCCAAACAGAAATTTCTCAAATCCTAATTAGTATTGATTTTTATGTCTAATACCTAATTTTTCTTAACTTATAGGATAATGCTATGTGGGACATTTTTAATACCATCTCACGTGGCAGTTGAGGTGGACATTCAACTCATTCAAATTATATATATGAATAATACTAGTCTTACCACATTTTTATACCACAATTTTATACCATATGATGTGGCAGCAGATGTGTACATACCACATCATGTAAAATACTAGTTTCTGTTTTTCTAATTTTATTTATTAAAATACACTTCATTCATTTAATTGATGTGACATATGATATGGACATGCCACATCATGTGGTATAGAAATGTGAGATAAAAATGTGGTAATATATTTTTTAAAGATATCAGTTTCTTATAGTTTTCATTAATTAAAAAAAATTCAAAAACTTAACCCTTGAGACTTTTCAATTTCACGTTATCTGTTGGTCTTCCCAAATTCCCTCTCTTCCTTTGCCGTCGATCTGCCGCCGCTCCACTCCCTCCACCTTTAATTTTTTGTTAGTCCACCTTTGAGCTGATGTCTACAGTCTATGGTCAATGGTAGTTGAGGGGTCATAACATTGCTCCTTGCATCACCAGCTCCGACCACCTCCATAACCTCTCATAGAGGGACGGATGATGTTGATCATGATATGGGTCTTGATCAAGCAGATTTGTAGTTGTTCTAACATGTGTACTGACCAAAAAGCCAAGGAGGAGAGAGCCTTGCAGCGGCGAAGAGGCAATGGATCGGCTACATATGTCCGGCAGAGTGCCGTCAATGGAGGGGAGAGGAAGTAGGGAGAGATGGAATTGGGGGAGAGTCGACAAACAACGTGAAAGAACTCAAAGAGTCTCTAATAAAGTAAAAAGAAAATATATATAGAAAAAAAAAAAAAAAAAAAAAAAAAAAAAAAAAAAAAAAAAAAAAAAACGAATAAATAATAATTTTATTTATTAATGATTACTACAAAAATTGAAATAGACGACGGTGTCTTTGAAAAACGTTGTTAAATCAACCACCATCTTTTGGTGTTAAACTACGACGCTGATTAACCGTCGTCTATTATTTTGTAAAGACGACACTTTTACTCAAAACTGCCGTCTATTAAAGACGATGATTTGTCTAATAGAACCGTCGTTTATTATATCGAAAGACGTCGGATTTGTTAAAAAACCGTCGTCTATTAATTGTAAAGACGACAATTTCTTTAAATATTGTCGTCTATTAACTCTAAGACGACTGTTATCAACTGTAAAACTGACATAGTAATTTTACATTTTAGCTTCTTCTTTTCTTGTTTCCAATGGTATCAGAAATCTATACTCAAATATGCTATTACCCAATCAAGAGAATAATAGAACAAAATAAAATCTAAAAAATGAAAGTACTCTAGGGTTGCTAGCTGCAAGCTGCAAGCCTAATTACAATAATACACCAAAATTCATATACCAAATTATCCTTTAAAGTCAAGTTCTCCATATGTATATAGAGCTATACATTCATCATCACCGATTTTCCTCTGCATTCTATCTGAACTTCATCACTTTGTTCTTGGGTGTGTGAGTTAGCTGCCTTCTTGCACATTTTTTCATAGGCACAGTAAGACACAAGCTTGTACGAAAAATTAGTGATTTTACAGCAAGAAAATAGTTAGGTCTTCGCTCTAAGTGAAATCCAATAAAAACAAAACATTACACCAATAACTAAATGAGGGCCTATATAGCATAAAACATGTTTAACATAACTAATTTATTATTATTATTATTATTATTTTGAAAAAGATGCTTTATTTAAAAATAATAAGCACTACAAAAGTGTACAAAAGATGCATTGAAATAATCAATATTATCTAAAATTTAAGCATGAGAAATAGGAACAAATGCATAATCTTAAAAAAAATCTCGCGTATGAACCACTCAAAGAGAAACAAAAAAAAGAAAAAAAAGAAAAAGAAAGATCACCCCCTTAGTTCTGCCCATCAAAGAAAAGAAAACTTTATATTCATTATTCATACCATGTTTACCGACTATAATTTCTTTTTGTTGGATCATATGTTTACCGACTATATTGTAGACCGCTTTTGTAATAGTACGAGATGGTATCAAAAGTAAGCATGCATGCATGTATCCTTATTATTTTATGTTATCCAACATGTAGCACTGTATGACGGCAAGAAATCATAAACATTAAATTAACTTACTTTTGGCAAAAGCTATAATAGCATAAACGAAAGTATACTTGTATCAGATTCTTTTCAGCGTACACAACACAGATTTTGTGTTCGTCAGTCCACAGCTCGCTTGATTCTAGTGTCTAGTGTGCTAAGTGGAAAGATGAACAACTAGTTTAACTTGTTGTCCACCTATACTCGTAGGCGCACGAATCGACTATAGAATAGACATGTATAAGTGTGAGGTCATCCCCACAGAGAGTGTGAAATGTTAAATATTTCATAAAATGAAATCAATAGAACAACAACACCATGAATCACATTAGAATAAACCAATAAACTTAATAACAAATCAAGAACACTAACCTGGATTAGAAGAAGAAGACATGAAGTTCTGTTGGAGCCGTCTTCTATTCTTTGCAATACCAAATGCTAATATCTCAATAGGGCTGATAATATCTTAGTGTGTAATTGTAAGAATAGGGACTAGCTCTTTTATATTGATAACAAAACTCTAACATTTCTATTATATTTTAGGGATTGCTAATCTTATGTCATAATTCATGGATATCTTACAATATAACAAGGCCTATATAGCTTTAGACATATTGGACTCCAATACACACGGTCCAGCAAGCTATGTGAAATATATGTATTATAATTAATACTCAATTTTCTTCCAACATGAAAATGATGGAAAACTAATCCAACCCAAATTAATTCAATTGCTAACTTAATTGATTCAAAGTTGATTTGTTGGTTGAAAAGAAAATTAAATAAAGCATAAAAATTGAAAATACAAATAAACTTGAATAGGGATTAAATGAATGAGAAAAATAACTAAGATTTTAGATTTCACACCATTATTCCATAAAACTCTAATTATTTATCTAACAATTCCTGTGGAGTAGCAGTCTAGAAATCATGTTATTGATATAATTAAAATTGTACTATGTCAATAATATTGTACAAAGTATTTGCTTGGCGTCATGTTATTTGCTAAAGATATTTTGAAGAAGCTAACAAGGGCCTTGTTTTGTAAATTAGTGATCTCAAGTTTGAATCTCACGACACATTTGTAGTATGTGCGTGAGAAATTCCATCTTCCTTGTAATTTAGATTATCACTTAATTGTATTTGAAAAACTTAGATATTATGAAGAAAATAGAACATAAATTAAAAGGGGAAGAAAAAAGCGTAGTTTATATATAATAACAACACAAATGACACCGGATGCTTTACATGAGAAGAGCACAGTACTACTGCTATAGTCGTAACCGATCCGTACATCACAGTGACATTAGAAGAAATTAAACACACATAACACATCTCTTATTCTACATAATGACATGAACTTAGCAAGCTAGTCATTCATGCATGCATGATCAGTTTCAGTTGGGAAATGGAAGTTTGTGTGGTGGCTTGACAGGGCCAGTTGAGGGCTTTAGTTTCCTCGGTGGCTTTGATGCCACCACATTCTGTTCAAGATGGCGATCGTGATGAGGTGGCTTGTCTCCCTTGCCCTTAGGAGGCTGATCAACTGGCTTGGGTTTTGGCTTGGGCTCTGGCTTGGGCTCTAGCACCACATTCTGTTCAAGATGGCGATCGTGATGAGGTGGCTTGTCTCCCTTGCCCTTAGGAGGTTGATCAACTGGCTTTGGTTCTGGCTTGGGCTCTGGCTTGGGCACTGGCTTGGGCTCTGGCACCACATTCTGTTCAAGATGGCGATCGTGATGAGGTGGCTTGGGTTCTGGCTTGGGCTCTGGCTTGGGTTCTGGCTTGGGCTCTGGCTTGGGCTCTGGCTTGGGCTCTGGCTTGGGCTCTAGCACCACATTCTGTTCAAGATGGCGATCGTGATGAGGTGGCTTGTCTCCCTTGCCCTTAGGAGGTTGATCAACTGGCTTTGGTTCTGGCTTGGGCTCTGGCTTGGGCATTGGCTTGGGCTCTGGCTGTTCAAGATGGCGATCGTGATGAGGTGGCTTGGGTTCTGGCTTGGGCTCTGGCTTGGGTTCTGGCTTGGGCTCTGGCTTGGGCTCTGGCTTGGGCTCTGGCTTGGGTTCTGGCTTGGGTTCTGGCTTGGGCTCTGGCTTGGGCTCTGGCTTGGGCTCTAGCACCACATTCTGTTCAAGATGGCGATCGTGATGAGGTGGCTTGTCTCCCTTGCCCTTAGGAGGTTGATCAACTGGCTTTGGTTCTGGCTTGGGCTCTGGCTTGGGCACTGGCTTGGGCTCTGGCACCACATTCTGTTCAAGATGGCGATCGTGATGAGGTGGCTTGGGCTCTGGCTTGGGCTCTGGCTTGGGTTCTGGCTTGGGCTCTGGCTTGGGCTCTAGCACCACATTCTGTTCAAGATGGCGATTGTGATGAGGTGGCTTGTCTCCCTTGCCCTTAGGAGGCTGATCAACTGGCTTTGGTTCTGGCTTGGGCTCTGGCTTGGGCTCTGGCACCACATTCTGTTCAAGATGGCGATCGTGATGAGGTGGCTTGTCTCCCTTGCCCTTAGGAGGCTGATCAACTGGCTTTGGTTCTGGCTTGGGCTCTGGCTTGGGCTCTGGGAATGGCTTGTGCTCATCAAGTGGGGTTGGTGGCTTGGGTTTTGTGGGTGGCTTCGGCTTCTTTCCCTGAGGAGGCAATTTCCCATCCAATGGCTCCTCTAGCAAACGAGTTCTGGTTTCTTGTTTGTGATGAGGCGGCTTCTCACCCTTTGGAGGCTCGTCGTTGCCCGGGTTTCCTTTGTGCTCTGGTGGTGGCTTCTCTCCTTTTCTTGGTGGCTCATCTCTCGGGTGTCCTGGTTCATGCTCAGGTGGTGGTTTCTCTCCTTTTCTCGGTGGCTCATCTCCCGGGTGTCCTGGTTCGTGCTCAGGTGGTGGCTTCTCATCCTTGTGAGGCTCAACACCTGGTTTCTCCTTTGGTGGTGGCTTTTGTCCCTTAGGAGGCTCATTGTTCTCTGGTGGAGGCTTTTTTTCCTTTGGAGGCTCATTGTTCTCTGGTGGAGGCTTCTTTCCCTTTGGAGGCTGGTCATTGCGCTCTGGTGGTGGCTTTTGTACCTGGGGAGGCTGGTCATTGCGCTCTGGAGGTGGCTTTTCTCCCTTGGGAAATTGGTCCTCCACCTCTAACAAATGGTGTTCATTGTGGGGTGGCTTGTCAACTGGTGGAGGCTTCTCTCCTCCTTTACCCTTGGGTTGTTGGGTTGGGGGCTTATGTTCTGGGAATGGCAATGGCTCTTCCTTGTTAAGTTGTGTTGGAGGCTTGTAGATTTGTGGCTTTGGGTCATGGTTATCAGCAAGAGAAGGAGTTGTGGTGGTGAAAGCCACCACTCCAAGAAGAAACACTAGCAAGTATTTGGAAGACATCTTTGGGCTCTTGGAAGCTTTGGGATGATTTGAAACTAGTAGAAGCCGGTGGCTTTTTATAGTAATATGGGAGCACTGTCGTCGTGACACGTGTCGTTTTGCATCTGGAATTTTTAATGAAGTCTCTGGACTCAATGGTGTATTGCATTGTTGGTACAATTTATAAATGAATTGGGGTCCAATTGGATCCTCAGGAGTTGAAAAGTTTGACAATTTGCTATGTTCATACCTGGTGGGGACCTGAATGAAAGCTTGCACGACCGAGTGTTCACAACTCACATGCACAAATATCAGTGACCTGGAGTACCTGGTGCAGCTACTTAAAGCTCACTGGTTATAGATGGTGTTTTAACTTTTAAAAAGACTACGAAAAATAGAAAATCATTTATAATAACTTATTTTGCATGTGTGAAAAAAGAAGAAGAAAATATTACTTCTTTTTTTGTGCGTAGCTGAGCATAGCCAATTTCCCCTTTTTTTGTTGTTGTTGTTGTTGTTGTTGTTGTATGAAAGAGATGATAATAAGCACTATAAGAAGGTATAAAAAATAGCACTGGAATAATCAATACTATCTAAAATTTAACATGAGAGATAAGAACAAATATGTAATCTTAAAAAAGACTCGTGCTTGAACAACTCAAAGAAAAAAAGATAAAGAAAAAAAGAAAAAAGAAGCGGAAACATGTTCATACCATGTTTACTGACTATATACATTTTTATTTTATCAAAATGTTTACGTACTATATTGTAGACCGCTTTTGTAATATTACGAGATGCAATCAAAAGTAAGCATGCATGTATATATCCTTATTATTTTATGTTATCCAACATGTTGCACCGGATGAAGGCAAGAAATCATAAACATTAAGAGCCCGTCGTTTGATAATTATTTTATTTTTATTTTTAATTTTTAGTACTAGTATAGAGGAAAAAGAGAGAGAACGGAAGTGAGAATGAGAGTGAATATGAGATTGAGAGGGAATATGAGAAGAGATGAGGAGAGAGAGGAATAACAAAAGTGAAAACAAAAATTAAAAACTGAAATCTATTTCAAATTATTTTCACTTTTGTTACTCCTCTCTCCCATCTTCCCCACCCATCCACTCTCTCAATCTCATCCTAACTCCCATTCTCACTCTCATTTTCCTCTAATACTCTAGTTCAAAATTAGCTAACTTTTGGCAAAAGCTATTATATTGTTTTCAGCGTACACAACACAGATTTTGTGTTCGAAAGTCCACAGCTTTTGCTTGATTCTAGTGTCTACTGTGCTGAGTGGAAAGATGGACAGCTAATTTAGCTCATTTCTTTTTGTTTTTTTATATTATATATTAATAATACTAGCTAGCTAGCCCACAATGGGATTTCTCCTTTTCCCACTTGGGATTTGTATTTAATTGCAACTTGTTAACACGATCGATCATGTAAATTGCTTTCAATTAGAGATATCATTATAATAAAAACTAAAGTGCCCTTCAAGTTTGCCCAAGAAACACGAGTGCGTGCATGTGCAATTGGTCAGCACGGTGAGAAGACTCTGAAGGCATGAAATATTTGTATACGAGTCATCTGACTGCCTTCTCTTTTTTCCCTGACAGCCACCAGGTGAGCCAAAATTTTATCACATCACAGTACCAATGCATGCATGCCGCGTTTTATTTTGCAGATAATTTATTAGTGGCCTCTTTGATCGGTTGTGAACATATAGCAGTAAAGTCTACATTATAGGATAAGATCCTTAAATTATTAACGTCACTGCCGACATGTTAATTGTTATCACTCAGTAATTTTCAAACATGTCGGCTCTATTATTGCCTCGGGACAATGGCGCAGGAACCCTAGGGCTTATAGAATGGTTGCTTAACTTTAAGCATATTGAGCCAGTAGGGTATAGCTCAGTTAGTTTAGTTCTTCTACCTACACTTATGTGTGTAGAGTTTAAAATTATACCAACCTATATCCAATGGGTTCTTTAATATTAGTAAGATTTTTCTTAATTTTTGTTTAATTTCCAATTTCAATTGTTATTGTTAGCTTTTTATGAATTAGGGTTTAGGTGTTAAATTTTGGAGTCTTTTTTCTTATGCAATTTGCTAGGATTTTATTGATGGCTCGTCCTTTTTCTGATTTAATCTATTCATTACTTGATCTTTGCTTTTATAGTCTAATTGTCTCTTGGTTTTGTTTAATATTTGTAGATTGTGATTGTGCAATTGTAGATCTATATGACTATACTCCCTACTTCTATGTGTCCTCCCATAAAATTAAAAAATTGTTAGTTGAAGAAAGGTTGCTACCACTCATTTCTTTTGCATATTTAAAAATAAAATTACAAAAACCTATAGCCTATAGCCAATTAACTATGTAAAAAAGAAAAAAAAAAAAAAAAAAAAAAAAAAAAAAAAAAAAAAAAAAATAAAAAAAAAATCAATGGACTCTCATAAAAAAATTATTAGCCCACCCTTATAAAATTTCCTGAGTCCGCCCAAGCACTCAAGGAATATTTGTGTAAATCCTCATCCCCTAATTACTTGTAAATAAAAAAAAATAATAATAAATTAAGCAGCTGCATATGGAAGATAAATATGGAATTTTTTTATTTTTTATTTTTCACTCCTATTTAGATTCTTAGAGGTTCTAGGATTTGAGGTAGTATTTAGGGTTGTTATTCTGATTTTCATAATTAATAAATTTTGAGATTTTCTCATATTTCTTGGTAGATTTCAGTTTCTTTCTTTTGAGGCTTACATTTGTTAGCCTTTAATTATCACGCTATGTCACTTTATTTATTTTGAAAAAGAAAAAAGTAATTGAGACCCCACTTGTGTAATATTTTCAATGTACGAGGCCCATAACGGAATTGTGAAGGATATAAAGATATTACTTTACCAGAATTATGCGAAAGAAGTTGTTTTTAGGCGTCGAGAATGTCCATAACAAAGTTGCTTTATGAGTAAATGAACCCTACGTTGGATGACCTTATAATGTAACCACCACTAGTTCTGTTGTTGAAAAAACCAAACCAATTCGGCTGATATCTTCAATTGATTGTACAATTTGTCAACCGGACAATGGGAATTGGGAAACTTGTGAGCAGTGTAGGTGGGAAAGTCCTTCTGAAGTCAATCAATTCTTGAGATTGAAAAGAATCTAGCGAGCCCCATATGACTTGTAATCGTATAGGAACAGAAAACATCTCCACCGTCTCAAATGAATTTCTCAGTGCTCAAAAGTCGTATATGTTTGCTTTAGTTTTGACAAGTACATAGAGTAGTGGAAACACAAAACCGTTCTTTATTTTTTTGTGGCCAATTTTTCTTGACCACAAAAGAAATTACGGATAACCCATTTTTGTGATTAAGCACTAAAACTAGATAATACAACCAAAATAACTAGCTTTCGATAATGTAATGACGTGGTCTCGTTAAAATCTTACTTAAAAGAAATTGTATGAATCCACAAACAAAGCTACATTCATTGAGCCCACATTCTAATTTTTATTAAAAATACCAAGAGGCTATACATAATCCCATTGATGGAGATAGAATATCTTGAATTGTCGTTTACCACTGGATCTTGCAATTACGTCCCCATACATAAAAACGACCAGACTGGGCTGACCTGTACCTAGCTAGTGCTATGCATCATATCCATCGGTCCAATAGACAATAGACAAGTACATCCAAATTCTATCATATTATCAATTGCCTTTAAACATGTATGCCACCACCACGCATGCAACATTTACCAAAAGGTGGATATGCCATCCGGTTAATGCAGGAAATTAGATTGTCTTCTTTAGTTTTGGTACTTATCTAATTTGCAATTACGTGTTGATCATGTAAAAGTCAAATTGATGCACCATACGTTGTAGATAGACCAGATGTTAGACCATCTTTTTTTCCCAAGGTCATGATGCTAGATCTGTATCCTTGATTGGTCGTCAATCCCATGGTCTTTTGCACTGCGTAGAAATTAAGAGAAGTTCCCATCCTTGGTGCTTATAATATTATAAAGAAGTGTTAGGGTCATCAAGATTGTTAACAAGCTCATATGATTTGTTAGTGTTTCATTTTCAAATATAACTTTGACTTCTATCTTAAGTGGTTAAGAGTAATTATTTTACATTTAAGGTCCTATATTCGAACCCCTCCCCTAAGAGTAGTCACAAATTTCTTACAATTTCACCTAATAATCCAACTTTTCAACTCGATTGGTGGGCTACTGGTCCTATTACTCTATAATTTCTGTATCTGTAACTTTCCCAAGAGAATTTACAAACTTTGGTCTATATAGAAATTAAGTATTAGGAAATAAGTTTGTATAATATCAATTAATATCAATACTGCTGTAATTAGGATTTACTTTCCTAGTAAGTTTACTAGATTGGAGGACTTGTTTCCTTGTACACTAAGACACTCTTGTATAAACCAATTGTACCAATCAATTAAAATTATTCTCTTCCAATATCAGATTCACATGATATCAGAGCAGGACATCAAACCCTAGCTCTTCATATTTCTTTTCCTGCTGCACCTTACCTTCTCGTGCCGCAGATCTTTCGCTGCCGGAAACCATGGGTGATTCCTCTGGCACATTCAAGGTTGAACCTTCAAGTCCTTACTACATCAATAATTCAGATCATCCAGGTTTGGTAATTGTACCAAAGCCTTTGAATGGAGATAATTATGCAACGTGGCGCAGATTTATGACTGTTTCATTGAACGCAAAGAATAAATTGGGTTTCGTTGATGGAACTCTCAAAAAGCCATCATCGGAATCCAATCTTGATGAACACGTGGTATGGATGCGTTGTAACGACATGGTTTTCTCCTGGATTGTCAACACACTTGATCCCGAAATCAGCGATAGTGTCATATATTGCACCACAGCCTGCGAAATTTGGGAGGATCTCCGTGAACGATTCTCTCAAAGCAACGCTCCTCGTATCTTCCAACTTCAACGGGAGACTTCATATTTGACACAAGACCAATTGTCAGTTGCTGCCTATTACACCAAGTTGAAAGGTCTTTGGGATGAACTTGCTTCCTACACAGATTATTCTACCTGTACCTATGCAGCCCATGGTGATCGCAACAACCTCATGCAATTCCTTATGGGATTGAATGAGTCTTACAATGATGTTCGTGGCCAAATTCTCTTGATGAATCCTTTGCCGTATGTTAGGCAAGCATATGCCTCCATCAGCCAAGAAGCAACGCACGCTTGGAGCCTTACGAGCCGCTGCTAGAACCTCCGATACTGCTGCCATGGCTGTTAGAATTGGACGCCCTAATCAAAATCGATCCACCAATCGTGAGGATCGTTGCACTGACAGGTCAGACCAAAACCATTCCCAGACCTCCAACTGTGATGACCGTCGCGCTGGATCTTCAAGAAATCGACCCCATTGCACCCATTGTGATGACGATGGCCATCAGATTGATACCTGCTGGAAGCTTCATGGGTATCCAGAAGGTCATCCATGCCACAAACCTAAGAAAAATCATGGTGGTCCATCTTCCAATCATGTTTCGGAAGGCCCAACCAAGGATGAGATGCAATCCGTTATGTCCGGCTTTTCAGACCTTCAAATTCAGCAAATGTTGGCTATCATGCATGACAAACCAGTGCCTGACAAGAAATCCCAGGTCAATGTCGTTGCCACCAATAAAGGTTTGTCAAAATTAAAATTTCAGTGATGGATTATCGACAGTGGCGCGACTGACCACATTGTTTCTTCTCCAAAATTGTTAGTTCATAGTAATATTGATCATTCTATGCAATCGGTTCGTATGCCTAGTGAGGAGAAGGCTTCAATTACTACAACAGGATCATTCCCTCTCAATTCTACTTATACTTTGCGTGATGTGCTATGTGTACCTACTTTCACAGTAGATTTGATGTCTGTGAGTATGCTTACAAAAAATTTGAATTGTTCAGTGACCTTTTTCCCATATTGGTGTATTTTGCAGGACCTTGCTATGAGGAAGACGATTGGTTTGGGTAAGCAACATGGCGGGCTTTATTATTTGGTGGCACTATTGGCGAAGAAACCCCCCAACACAACCCACCAATATCCGTCTCACCGTCCATCCTGCAATCACACTGTCACCACTACCGACCTTTGGCATCGTCGTCTTGGCCATGTTTCTTCCTCCATATTAAATTTTATGTCTAAGCATTTAATAGATTTTCCTTTTGTCTCTAATAATGCTTGTCATGTTTGTCCCTTGGCAAAGCAGAGTCGTCTCCCTTTTGGAACAAGTTCAATTTCATCTGTCAAAACATTTGATTTAATTCATTGTGATATTTGGGGCCCTTATAAGCATTCATCAATTTTTGGTGCCCGTTATTTTCTTACAATAGTTGATGATTATTCTCGCTTTACTTGGGTATTTTTAATGCGCCATAAACATGAGACTCAACATCTTTTAAAAACTTTTTTTTTCTTTTGTTGGCACTCAATTTGATTCCCAAATTAAACAACTTTGTGCCGACAATGGAGGGGAATTTCTTTCTCTTCAGACTTTCTTTCATGAACATGGCATCATATTTCAACACTCTTGCGTTTATACACCTCAACAAAATGGGGTCGTAGAACGTAAGCATCGCCACATCCTTGAAACGGCTCGTGCTTTAAAAATTCAGGCCAATCTTCCTTCCAAATTTGGGGGGAATGTGTTTTAACTGCAGTTCATCTCATCAACCGTTTTCTTACTCCTCTTCTCTCTTTTAACACTCATTTTGAACGTCTTTATTCCAAAAAACTGTCTTTCTCTCACCTTCGCGTTTTTGGTTGTCTTGCATATGTCACTAATGTTCATGTGACACATAAATTCGCTCCTTGTGCTATTCCATTTGTTTCCCTTGGTTATTCCCTTGGTCAAGAAGCCTTCAAGCTTTATGATATTGAGTATCACAAAATTTTCACAAGTCGTGATGTTAAAATCCATGAAAATATTTTTTCCTATCACACTTTTCCTTCCCTCTCTTCACTTTCGGTTCCCTCTTCTTTTCCAGCTCCTTTTTTCCTTTCTGACGTGGACCCAATTTTTTCTTCTCCAGCCGCTACTTCACCTAAGTCGACCCCCACCAGTCCACATCCCATGCCTTCATCCCCACTTGACACCACCACCGAGCCTGATGAGCCTGGTCCACCTTTGCTATTATCCCCACTGGCTGAGCGCACCCACAGTTCACTCGCCACCAGTCCATATGCACCCACACCTGAACCCCCACCTCTCTGCCGATCTGAATGCATCTCTGTGCCTTCCGTTCGCTTACGTGACTACATCTGCAATCAGGTCATGTTGCCCATCCCTGATCACTCGTCTTCTTTACTGCCAAGTCCTACTAAAGGTACACGTTTTCCGCTTTGCAATTATCTCTCATATCATCGTTATTCCTTGGCTCACCTTGCTTTCATTGCAAAAGTCAGTAACATTGTTGAACCCAGTTCTTATGAGGTAGCTGCTCCTCACTCTCATTGGCAAGAGGCCATGCAGTATGAATTGCAGGCCTTGTCCGATAACCACACTTGGAGTCTTACTCCGTTACCTGCTGGCAAGAAGCCCATTGGTTGTCGGTGGGTGTATAAAATAAAGCTTAAATCAGATGGCTATGTTGAGCGATATAAAGCCCGGTTGGTTGCTAAAGGTTTTACTTAGTTGGAAGGTGTTGATTATCATGATACTTTTTCTCCTACTGCCAAAATGCTCACTGTCCGCTGCCTCCTTGCTCTTGCTGCCGCCCATAATTGGCCCCTTTATCTGCTTGACGTCAACAATACTTTTCTTCATGGTGATCTCCATAAGGAAATCTACATGCTCCCTCCACCTATTCTTCGGCGACAGGGGGAGAACTTGGGGTATGTCGCCCTCATAAATCTCTTTATGGTTTAAAGCAAGCTTCTCGTCAATGGTTTGCTAAGTTTTCTTAGGCCATTTGTTCTATTGGTTACATTCAGTCTAAAATTGACTATTCATTATTTACACGCCATAAGGGACACTCTTTCACAGCATTATTAATTTATGTTGATGACATTGTTATCACGGGTAATGACCCTATAGTTATCTCGACACTCAAGGATTTTTTGCACAGTTATTTTCGTATTAAAGATCTTGGAGATTTGAAATACTTTTTGGGGATTGAGGTATCAAGATCAAAACATGGCATTTTCTTATCTCAACGCAAGTATGCATTGGAAATTTTGAAGGATGCAAAACTCCTAGGTGCCCCACCTGTTGATTTTCCTATGGAAAAAGGTCTTAAGCTCTCAGATAAGGGTGAATTACTTAAAGATCTAGCTCATTATAGAAGACTCATTGGTCGCTTAATTTATTTGACCATCACAAGGCCAGACATTACTTACTCTGTTCATGTCTTAAGCAGGTTTATGCATGCCCCACGTAAACCTCACATGGAGGCCGCACTCCGCATTCTTCGTTATTTGAAAAAATCGCCAGGTCAAGGCATATTATTGTCTTCTCATAATGACTTGACTTTGCATGCCTTCTGTGACTCTAATTGGGCTAGAAGGTCTACTACAGGCTATTGTGTGTTTCTGGGATCTTATTTAATTTCATGGAAATCGAAGCGACAGAAAACTGTATCTTTATCATCAGCAGAAGCTGAATATAGATCTATGGTGGCAGAATGTTGTGAGTTGTCTTAGCTTCGATCCCTTCTCAAGGATTTGCGCATCCTTCATCGCCAATCTGCTTTGTTGTATTGTGACAATAAGGCAGCTTTACATATTGCTGCTAATCCAGTATTTCATGAGAGAACAAGACATATTGAGATGGATTATCATTTTATTCGAGATAAGATTTAGGAAGGTTTGATTGCTACACAACATGTGAGTTCATCCTCTCAGTTAGCCGATATTCTTACTAAGGCGTTGGGACGAGAAGAATTCAACAATCTTGTTCGCAAGTTGAGAGTTCTTGATATCCACTCTTCAACTTGAGGGGGAGTGTTAGGAAATAAGTTTGTATAATATCAATTAATATCAATACTGTTGTAATTAGGATTTACTTTCCTAGTAAGTTTCCTAGATTGGAGGACTTGTTTCCTTGTACACTAAGACACTCTTGTATAAACCAATTGTACCTATCAATTAAAATTATTCTCTTCCAATATCATATTCACATTAAGTGCACAAACACGTGTCCTGACACCATAGGCCTCCAGTCCTATAAAAGGGCACACACTTACACCAATTTTGTACCATCCACAATATCACTCACTAGCTATACCTTAATAATAATGTCTCTCAAATTCCTGCTGGTGGTGTCCCTGGGTGTGCTGCTTCTCACCACTTGTTCCCTTGCTGATCATGATCACCATAAACCACCACGCAAGCCATCTCCTTTGGAAGCAGAAAACTCCTTTGAATTGGATGGCAAGCCTCCTAAGGGTCCGAGACCACCCCCAAAGCACAGGTCGCCAACACCGCTTGATAATGAGGCAGTAGTGCCATTGAAGGATGTCGAAGCCTCGTACAAGCCTCCAGGGAAGAAACCACCACATAACCCCTACAAGCCACCCTACAAACCTCCTCCATCAAACTAAGTGCATGCATGCCTAGCTAACTAATTATATGTAGCTAGCTAGGTTATTACACATCGACGTGTATAAAAATAAGAGCTGCGTCTGCATGCATGATGATGTAATATTACCCTTTTATTAGCCTTATTTTACTACTACTGCTACTAGCTACCTTAAGTTATTCATGCTGGATCCTGTTTGTTGTTGTTATGCACTTGTATTTACTTGGTAGTCATGAGCATGAGACATACCACCACAGGGAAAACGTTTATTAGTGGCCAGCAAGTTGGTCACAAAAAGTACCAATTTTGGTCACTGAACACAATTAGTGTCACAAATTCTATTTAGTGGCCATATTCAAGTATGGTCACTACAACCCAAGAATTAGTGACTTCATGTGTGTGGTCACTAATAAAATCGCTATCAGTGACCACAACTTTGGTCACTAAAGGGCTGCAATTCGGTCACCAAAACATGCATTTTGGTCACTAAAACAAGGGTCACGTGCCCATATTGCTGACCAAACTGGTTGGTCACTTAATGTCTATAGAACAATTGTTGACTAATTAGATTCATTTAATCTGTTCTTTATTAAAACTATAAAATCACATCTAATTTCTTTTCATACAGTCCACTAAAGATAAAATTTTGATACCTAACAAAAGTATAAAATAACAAAATGTGCGTCATATATCATTTAAAAAACTATATATGTATCAACATTTCTCCAACAAATTCACAAGACATGTATCTCTCAAAAACAAAAATCTAAAAATAAATTGATAAATGTATTCCGCATCTTGAATTAATTAGTTGTATTCTGCATCCTGAATTAGCAGAAGTTTCTCCATTGTTGAGAAGGCCCCTCTTGATGCTTTTGCTGTGCAATGCTTTTGAGCCCATTCCTACAAACACAGCCAAATACAATGAACCTACTGCTCGAAAAACCCTTCTCTATTGTCTACCACATACATATTTCAGCTAAACATGCAACAAGGAGAAACAAAAAGGAAAAAACAAAACATCAACAAGACAAACTAATAAGAATGTATCATCATCTTAACAAATAGAAAGAGAGACCCATTAAACTAAAAGTAAAATTCATGAGTGAGAGAGAGAGAGAGAGAGAAGCTAAAAGATAATATTGAAGATAAAGTCAGCAAAAAAAGTAAGATAATATTGAAGATAAACTCTGTTGATATACTAGAAACTTAAAAATAATGAAGCTAGCCAAATTAAATCTGATGGGTTTATATTACCATAGAAAAAAATTGTAGTAAGATGAGAGTTGTAAGCTAACCTCATTGATGATGAAGTCAAGGATAACTGATCCAGGATGACCAAGCCTGCATACCCAAATAAAACATGTTTTACTTCCTTGAACTAATAATATCTATGCAAAACTATAACTAATTATGTCCAAATGACATACCCATTGTAGGCTTTGAATGCCACGATCTGATAGGTCACCTGAAATTAGGACAAAACCTAGAAATCAAAACCATAGAGACGAAGAGGACACTCACTCGCTCGGCGAAGAAGACGATTTCTGCTCGCTCTCGCTGAAGAAGAGGGTTGGTGTTCGCTCGCTCTCGCCGAAGACGACGATCGGTGCTTGCTCACTCAAGACGATGGTTCCAAAGTACTAAGTACTAACCTCTTTTTTGAGTAAATTTGAACAAATAAATTTATTTTTTATTTTTAAAAGTTAATTGGTCACTCATGTGTGATAGAAAAGAAGTAAGTCCACCATTGCCTATATGTTGGTCACTAATTAGGCAATTTAAGTTGTTTTTCAGTCACTAATTTTCACCAAATTTGGTCATTAAAAATTACAAATTATGTGCCAATCATTTTAAAGACCATTTAGCATACTTAGTCACTAAATGCACACTATTTGTGACCATTGTAGATGTGGTCACTGTGAAATTGGTCACTACATACCTTTTTTCTTGTAGTGTACTCAGCTTCACGTTTAGCTAGTTTTTTTTATTAATAAATGTACTTGCTACGTACTCTTGTATAGTTTGAAATAAGGGCAGAACTAGGAATTTATGAGTGAGTGGGCTAGCTAAAGTTATTAGCTTAAAATCTAATGATATTTTTTTGTATTCACAATTTCTATAGGCTTTATATAAATAAAAGTACACATTAGTATAAACTAAGCTAGTTATAAACATAAGAAAAGAAAAATGGAATTAGAGCCATATTATTCTTGAAATGAAGAATTTCATTTAGAAAAATGGTTCTCTTTTAGAGAAAAATCAATGAAAAAAAATATAATTGGAGAGTTAGAGCTAAGGACTTTACCCTTATTGTGGGTTATTGGTGTTGGGACAGTCTTCTTGGACACCATATGCAAATGTGAAAAACCTTTGACGATGCGTATTGGTGTTGCGCCAATATATGAAATTGTGTATTTTTATTTAATTTGAAGTTAAGATACTAGCTTATATAGATTTTATTTTTATTTTTTTAGCAGTATAGATGGGAAAGTCCTTCTGAAGTCAATCAATTCTTGAGATTGAAAAGAATCTAGCGAGCCCCATATGACTTGTAATCGTATAGGAACAGAAAACATCTCCACCGTCTCAAATGAATTTCTCATGAGTGCTCAAGAGTCGTATATGTTTGCTTTAGTTTTGACACGTAGATAGAGTAGTGGAAACACAAAACCGTCCTTTATTTTTTTATTGACCACAAAAGAAAATTATGGATAACCCATGTTTGTGGTCAAGGACTAAAAACTTCACTAAAACTAGAATACAACCAAAATAACTAGTCTTCGGTGATAGAACATCTTCAATTGTCGTTTACCACCGGATCTTGCAATTGCGTCCCCATACATAAAAACGACCAGACTGGGCTGAACTCTACCGTAGTACTATGCTTCATATCCATCGGTCCAATAGGCAATAGACCCCTACATCCAAATTCTATCATATTGTCAATTGCCTTTAAACATGTTTCCCACCACCATGCATTCAACCACATTTATGGTCGCATGCATACATATGAAAAGGAAAAAATAGTTAATTGACCTGGACTCTTTGACTCTGAGAAAAGGAGCGAAGTTTTCTTCCTCGTCATCCAAAAAAACTAGTATAGGTTAAGAGATAAACCATCATGTGCTCTTTGTTTTCACTTTATTTATTTATTTTTAATATTATTGATGGTCTAAATTACAAGAGGAATGAGATTTTTCACACGCACTACTAAAGTGCTATGGGATTCGAACCTCGGACTACTCATCTGCAAATCAAATCTATTTTTCATTGGATTAGATTCCGTTGGCCTCTCTGTGGTTAACTTTGTCCTCATGAATCATGATTAACCAAATAGTTTTTAAACCGCAAACAGCATTTTCTGCCCAGGGAATATTGAAGGAAAAATACCTATAGGCTTGATATTAATTTCATCAATCAACCGATCCAGGTGCAACTTCGGCTAATTGTCTAACTTTGTGTGGGCAGTGGGCTCCAAATTGACCCCATCAGATTACCACTGGATCTTGCTATCGAATCATGTTTGGCATCAACAGATTCAATACTGGTTTAAGTGTGAGTCTAAATATTTATATAGCGGGATAAAAAGTGAAAATGAGTTCACAATATTCATCCTTAAATATAAAGAAATTGAAGATTTTACACCTTCAGGAATATTCGTCAGCTTGTGTAGAAAAGCATATGCTGAAGAGTAGCTCAAAGTCGAAGTATCAAACGGGTTAGGCTGGCCTGTGCACAGCACGAGTTTGGTCCAATTAAATAAAACCCAACACAGTATGATTCATATTTTTAGATGGATCAAAATGACGTAATAAAGTTCAATTGGCCGAGCCGGCCAGAGACCCCTTGTGGGTAGTGCTGGCCGAAGCCCAACGAGCCGACCCATTTAAATTTGACAATGGAACCCTCAAAATTCCATGGCTACTATGACGGATGTGGAATCCTTGAATCTAAGCTACTAGATAGCGAAAAAACAGCAAAATTTATTAACTCCTTGACTTCGGCGTAATTCAATTCAGTAGAAAGTCTTATTTCGCCAATCTTTGTGACGAGCTAAATAACTACTATAGAGAGCGTTGGCACCATTGGAATTAGAAGTGTCAAACAAGTCGGGCTGGCCCAAGCAAGGTATGAATTTGGGCCGATTGTGTACGGCCTGACACAGGACGACCAATATTTTTGGGCAGGCCATGATGAGGAAATTCGGTCCAATGGGTTGAGCCTACTCAAAGCCCAACGGGCCGGCCATTTAAAGCTTATTTATTAAATTATATTTATTTTAGAGAAAAATATTACATAATATTATTATATTTGTATATTAAATTCAAGTCTGTTTCTTTTTTCTAATAATATATTTTAAAATACAATTTTTTCTTTATAAATAAAATCATTATTTTTATTTTTCAATTTTTTAAACCCGAACAATAATCTAGTCATTTTCTATTTTAATGTACTTCAAATAAAGCCGTTGGCTTTTTTTGCAACAAATAATAAATCTTGATAGTATATACATAATTATAAAAAAAAATTAAATTAAATAAAATTGACAAAAAAATGCAATTGACACCTCAAGCTCAAATGTAACAGACAAAAGGAGAGTATAAATGGCTGATCAACTTGGCGAAATAGCTAGGGATAAAAAGGGGAAGGGGGAAAGGAAGGAAGTAATAAGTTAGAAAACACAAAGAAAAAGCTAACACTAATATATTCAAAAAGTATAAGGAAAAAGTATATAAAAAAAAAAACAAAAAAACAAGGAACCGAATAGTCACAAAGAAGGTTCATTTTGAAGGAATGTGAAAATGGTACTTAGGCGAAATGGGTAAATTTAAACTATAACAAGAGTATAGAAGGATAGAATAAACACAGTTTTCTTAAACAATATATGACTAGTCAGCAACTAGTCACAGACCTGAAATTACAATACACAAAACCACACACATAAAATAAACAATTATCAAGCCCTTGCAGACCTAGAAGAAAACTAGGTGACAACCTAAGCACTCAAAAGGATCCATCAATCTAGGCGTTTTATATGCTAGCAACAACTATAGTGATATGTGTGTCAGCATCCATTAAATCAGAAATAGGAATGAACAACAAAAGATGATTAGGTAGCAAAATGAAATAGCTAGGGATAAAAAGGGGAAAGGGCTAAACTTAATCAGGTAGCAAAATGAAACTTGGCAACGCGGGGGGATGGGGGTGGGTGGGTGTGGGGTTGGTTTGAAAAGACAATGAAAAAGCTAACACTAATATGTCAAAAAGTATAGGGAAAAAGGGAAAAAAAAACGAAAGGAACCAACTAGTCACAGAGAAGGTTCATTTTCAAGGAAGGAAAAAGATGTAGAATGTATTGCGCATATGCTTTTTTCGTTAACAATACTAGTCCCCCCGATGGTTAAAAAAAGATATCTGTTTTGTAAAGAGGTTCTCTTAAAAGAAAGCCGATTGCCATATTATACATAATTAAGAGGTAGAATTTGGTTGTCGACATGCTTATAATACTAACTTTATCCATAAAACTTTACCGAAAGGTGGATATGCCATCCGGTTAATGCAGGAAATTAGATTGTCTTTAGTTTTGTACCTATCTAATTTGCAATTACGTGTTGATGTAAAACTCAAATTGATGCACCATGCGTTGTAGATAGACCAGATGTTAATAGACCATGCGTGTTTATCTTTTTTTCCAGGGTCATGATGCTAGGTCTGTATCCTAGATTGTTCGTCAATCCCATGGTCTTTTGCAAATGGAGAAGCAAGACCACTGCGTAGAAATTAAGAGAAGTTCTCATCCTTGGTGCTTATAATATTATAAAGAAGTGTTAGGGTCATCAAGATTGTTGACAAGCTCATATCATTTGTTAGTGTTTGATTTTCAAATATAACTTTCTATATGTAAAGGACTTCTATCTCAAGTGGTTAAGAGCAATTATCCTACACTTAAGGTTATGTATTCGAACTCCTCCCCTAATATTTTAGTTGTGACAATAGAGAAAATGAGAGTCGAACACACAACAAGTGAAAGGATAAATGCTCTTAATTACTTTAGTCACAAATTTCTTACAATTTCACCTAATAATCCAACTTTTCAACTCGATTGGTGGGCTACAAATGGTCCTATCACCCTATAATTTCTGTATCTGTAACTTTCCCAAGAGAATTTACAGACTTTGGTCTATATAGAAATTAAGTGCGCAAACACAAGTGTCCTGACAGTATTGGCCTCCAGTCCTATAAAAGGGCACACACTTACACCAATTTTGTACCATCCACAATATCACTCACTAGCTATATCTTAACAATAATGTCTCCCAAATTCCTGCTGGTGGTGTCCCTGGGTGTGCTGCTTCTCACCACTTGTTCTCTTGCTGATCATGATCACCATAAACCTCCACATAAACCACCACACAAGCCACCTCATTTGGAAGCAGAAAACTCCGTTGAATTGGATGGCAAGCCTCCTAAGGGTCCGAAACCACCCCCAAAGCACAGGCCGCCAACACCGCTTGATAATGAGGCAGTAGTGCCATTGAAGGATGTCGAAGCCTCGTACAAGCCTCCAGGGAAGAAACCACCACATAACCCCTACAAGCCACCCTACAAACCTCCTCCATCAAACTAAGTGCATGCATGCCTAG